CAACAGTATGTGATCAGCGCATTCTGTTGTGAGAACAATGACGCAACAGATAGCGTTCGGATGCTAAAGCCATGTAATCAGCTGCCACTGTCTAAATAAGGTCTATTGATAAGCTTGTTGTCGTCGTTTGAAAAGAAATTGTGCTGTTTCATTCAGTGTTGCCATCACGGTACAAGTTAATAATTTTCCAGTCTTCTCCTTTTAATTCCATGATTTAATTTGTTGTTTGTAACGGAAGGCGATAGAATTTCTAGGCTTGCATTGGCCATGCTCCTATATCAGAGATGCATTTTACATTTTTTTTTTAATCGCCGTGGTCACATGGCGAATGTCAGTTTTATTTTTGAATGACGAGGCCGCGTCATCTAATTTTATCCACGTTTTAACGTAAATAACGAGTTACAGGTTTTTGACTGGAATCGTTCCAATAACGTGGCTGTGGTGGAATTGTATAGTGATCGGTAAGTTGTATAATTGCATTCGCGTCTCAGAAATCCCCCCAAGTTGTCCTGTTCAAACCGTTTTCGTGGGGCCCCCGGAGTAAATGCCTGCGTGTTTTCACCTTTTTGTACTCGTTTCTTCTGTTGCACTGTGGAAATTTTTGGTGAATTTCCGCGTACTAGTATTACCTATATGAGCCGGGATAGCTCAGTCAGTATAGTGACTAGCTACGAGCTGGACAGCCGGGGTTCGATCCCCGACGAGGGCAGAGGATTTTTCCTCTAGCCTCTGCGTCCAGACCGGCTCTGGGGCCCACCCAGCCTCCTCTACAATGGGTACCGGGGGTCCTTTCCCGGGGGTAAAGCCGGCCGGGGCGTGATGCTGACCACTCACCCCCATCTAGTGCCGAGGTCAAGGAAGAGAGGAGCTATACCTCCACTTACCCCAAGCGCCTACATGCCGTATAGTGGGACAAACTTTACTTTACTTAGTATTACCTATTTGGATGTTTGTTTATTATATTTTTTCTGTTTATTGTTACCTGTTCTGTGTCGTATCAAACACCAAGCTAATCCCTGCCCACAGGCAGATAGTCAGTTCATTTCCTCACATCTTGTTCCGGTCCAATCAATTTCTCATTTTTTACCCGTATTCTTAATTGTTTTCTTTTCTTTCTGGGTTTCCATGAAAAATTATCCGCATTTTTATCCGACTCATGGCCAAAATTGCGAGCAGCTGAGTGGGGCAAATAAACTAATGTAACATGAAGTAATATAATGTTAATTGGCAGAATAATTAGATGGTATGCTGCGGTTCGCTACGTCGGACATTGACCACTGAGGAGGCTCGGATCAGAGACGGGGCACCGCTTCGAGCAGAACTGCAAACAACGTCACGAGGCGTTCGCTAAAGGATCGGCACAAGACGACATAAAAGTTTTCACAAAAAGGCGAACAAAAGGAAAGGTCATTAATGGACTGGAAGAAGGGCGTAAGTCAGAGAAAAACGTTCCGACGTCGAACGACGGTATAACATTTTTTTTTTTAGTGTTCTGTCTGACGACAGGTCTATATGAACAGGATCCTTCCATCCTTTTCTCGGACTGGGCCCTGTTCATATACGTTCTTGGCAGATGATCCAGAAGTGGTTTGCCATTGCCTTCTTCTGTGTGTGAATGGAGTAATTGTTGGGATGCCACGGAGGAAAACTCCGTGTTGCCTAGACCACGGCCTTGCCCAACACAAGTTATAAATTCTGGCACCGCCGGGAATCGAACCCGAGACCCCAGTCTACAGTCAGGAAATTAGACGTGGACAAACAATGTCAAGTGTATGATTAACTACGAAGTCACAAGAAGAAATTTAAGGATTTGAGTTCAAAATTTGTCTTGTTAGCTTTGAACACCGCTAAATGTTATCTACAGATTGCCCCCAAAAAGATATATACTCGCATTCAGTGAATTAAATAAATACATTTTAATAAACTAATTAACTACATACGTCAGTGTTTGCGTCTTTTTGGTACATTCTGTATGAAACAGGCCACGTTAGCCGTTCTGTATTGTCGTGAATCGAAGTCTCATAGTTTTACTTCAGAAATTTGCGAATGTTTTGAAAACGAAGATGGAGGGCTGCTTTTATTGTTAGGTTTTCCAATCGTGAGTCTGTAGTGGGATTAAGGAGAGAGAAACTGAGAAGGCGTTTGTTTCAGACCAAGAAATGACCAGTTGCTGTGTTCTGTCGTGCAGTGAGACTTCTCATTGGATTCCTGCATTGCTTTTTGGGCTCCCTGTATGCAGCGAAATTCTGTCAGCAGGATATCCAATGGGATGTTAGTATTAATAGTTCGTTTCAGCAACACAAACGCCCAACAAAACGCCTGTTACATGATGAGATTTAATTATTTCAGGTAGAATTGACGTCAGCGCCATTACAGAGTAGTTTTTTGTTCCATGTTGAAGTGTACGTTCAGAAATAACGCGATAAAGCAAGATAAATAAAGGTGGGATTCGAACGTAAGTGTCCATCTCGACACTCGATTGTCCTTTTACCTGGTTAAGTGCGTGTTCTCTCAAGAGTATCCTGGTGGGTTTTATGAACTGTTGAAGATGCGAAAGACCTGGTATTGTTTGTCTTTGCACCCCCGTGTCCACGATTCACTTCTATGCAGCCTATATTCGTAATTGAAAAGTGGAATTTTTTTTTCCAAAACGTTAGTTCCACGTTAAAAAAAACTAACTTATTATTCCCTAGTTCGAATTTCCTGCTTTGAAATGTAATTCTCTATCAAAATATTCATTCTTTTGCTGTTCGTCTGATGTCAATGGCCAGTGGTGATTGGCGTGGGTGAGTTTTAAGTTTGTTAATACATGTAAAATGTGTATGGCATACTTTTTGACACCAGGAACATCTAAACAGAGGCGGGGAGGGGGGGGGTTTCCATGGTTTTCCTCAGTTCTGTCAGGTAAGAATGAAATCACTTCCAGGGGTGAGGCGATGGCCATGTCAAGTGTGAGGTTTTGTGGTTTTCCTCGGTTCTACGAGATACAAATGAAATCACTTCCGGTGGTGAGGTTAAGCCGGCTGTGATTTCCGCATTTATACGAGATGATAAATGAAATCACTTCAGATATGTTTGTTAGAGCGCACAACCATTTACAGACGTTTTTAGGAGACGTGTCTTTTTTATTACCATATGATCTCATCTTCTGGACCAGTTTCACTCATCCATTCTTTCCAAGTCTCAATGGAGTTTCATTTTCCCCCGCTGTATAATGACAGTGTCGGGAAGATACTTCGAAATAGTCCGCTTACCGCTTGCTCGAGACGTCTTGCCGAATAGCGTATTTTCGTGACTTGGTTGCAAATTATAAATGGAGAATAAATTTAACTCAGGAAACTTTTTTTGCTACACATTTTAAAAATTTCTCAAGTTTCCTGTCTGAGCCGCTGTGGCAAGTGACTCCCACAACACCAGACAGTAAATGAGCAGTGGTCTTTATTATACAGGGTGATTCAAAATGTTAGTGCCAAACTGATGGAGTGTATAGAGGGACTCAGAGAGAACAACTTTCGAATAGGAATCCATGTCCTCCGAAGTTATCCTGAGTCAGTCGAGGCCATTGAAGGTAGGGAAGTCTGAAATAATTTGGTTTGTAAGATTGCTAATGTAATCCTTGTACATTAAAGTAAAGTAAAGTTTGTCCCACTATACGCCATGTAGGCGTTTGGGGGGAGTGGAGGTATAGCTCCTCTCTTCCTTGACCTCGGCAGCAGAGGCTAGAGGAAAAATCCTCTGCCCCCGTCGGGGATCGAACCCCGGCCGTCCAGCCCGTAGCTAGTCACTATACTGACTGAGCTACATTAATAAGAAAACAAAATTAAGCTAGTAGGAGAATGGCAAAGTACAGTTACCAGTGGACTTTGAAGGGTTGTGGATATTCGTTCTTCACATTACAGAAATCTGCTTCAGACCTAGTTCGCAAAGGATGTCGTATATTCTGGCTTTGAATTGGGTTTGTATTGTCGGTGCCTACGGATTA